GTTGCCAGGACAACGCCTTTTCTTGCTCCATAATGTGCGTCCGCGGGTTGTTAACGGAGATGAGGATCTTTTTTCTTCTTCTGTCTTCTTCTTCTTTTTCTCGTCTTGTATTGAATCGTCAATTTGTTATTTGGTGTTAATTCGCCATATATTGCCTTTGCCCTATATACTCGGTCACAACAGGATTGTTAAACCTGGTTATTGCAACGTAATGTGTTCCTTTAAGCACGTTTGATCGGCATTTACATTACGTAGATACTTTCTTGATCTATAATGCTGTTGAAGCGATTATGAGATTATGAGTCTTCACATGTCTTTTAAATAAATTAAGTATAATTTAAGAGTTAGAACTTTGAAACAGTGAATGTGCATTAATGTATATACAATTCTTGCACGTATAAGGTACAAATGGATGATTAGGGTACAGAACGTAGATATAGGCCTACAATCGGCTTTATGCTTGGATTTGTATAACGTTACACACAATATTCATTATTCGTTAGTATGTGGACATGAACATATTATGTTCACAATTTTGTAAAATATGAAAATCGAATAAGTATGCAAAGGCGTATCCAGAAATTGAAGGAAAAAAAACGGAATCCTGCCCAGATTGGGGGGGGGGGGGCGTATAGGCTCCACTCTAAGATGGATAAAAATGGAATAAGATAGTATTATGTTTTTCCTTTTACTCCATATAAAGGGAACTGTATATCCTATGCTCGTACTCGCATCATAAAATTCTTTTTAATCCACTTTTTTTCTTCATAAATGAGTTATTTGATTATTAACCAAATACAATGATTGACTAATTTCTTATCGGTGTACTGCCAGACGGAGACTCACAGAAAAACATTATGACATCTTTTAAAATCACTTATCCTTCAGGTATCTTTCTCTCGTCAAGTGAGAGAGCACTAAAACACTCCCACTTTCCCTACTTTAATCATATTTTGAAATGTCACCAAATCAATACATTGAAAATAGCCCATGCATTGTAAACAATAGAAGCCATGGGCATTTTGATACAGATTACAGGATAAATAGAGAGAGAGAGGGGGGGGGGGAAGTAAAAAAGGGAAAGAGAGAGAGAGAGAGAGAGAGAGAGAGAGAGAGAGAGAGAAACAAAGACGAATTAATTACCCCAAATAAAAGGAAAAGGTAAGGAATTTATCATAGAAAAGAAAAGAATAGTCTTGCTGACACTGAACAACAAGAAAGATATGCCAACAAAATTGAGGGAAAAGGAAAGAGAAGACGCACTCATAAAATATCTAAAATGAAAGAAAGAGAAGAAAAATAATAGACTGAGATTTACAAGAGAATTTAGGTGGGATTATCGGTTACAATAGATAAAACACCGGGGTGACATGAATCGAACATCTATACTTTGCCGCAGCGGGCGCCCTGTCGCTTTGTTGGTGTTTTTTGTTATGTTTTGTTATGTCAATTTATTAGACAACAATGTTCATTCAAGATTTTGTTTTGATTTAGATTGTGAATGAACAGCCCAAATTGGCTTAAAAATTTAACATTTTTAATGGTTGTGAGAATAAATATCCTGGGTATATATACAATACATCAACGCAGTGTAAAACATTAAATCCGTATAAAATTGGTACGAATGAAAATGTAGTTTCTCTTCTTTTTACCTTTTATTTCTACCCTTTTGCATATAAATAATAAACAATGCAATAGAGTCGCAGTTCAGTTTGATCATTCACTTTGAATTAGGCTTATGTAATTCGATGTAATCAGAAAGTCTGGAGCTGCAGCCCCCCCCCCCCCCCCCCTCTCTCCCAAAAGTTGGAAATAATCAATATTCGGGTAGCAATGTAGTCTATTTGGAATTGTACATCTTATGTGGTTTCATTGATGGTAATTCAATACATGAGAATGGCAAAATAAAGAAGAAACAAAGTTATATTCGGGCAAGAGACATCAGCTACCCCCCCCCCCCTCCCCACTCCCCGGCAAACAATGTTCCATATGAAACAAATCAAATTGCTTTTTTTTTTTAGCATCAAATAAAAACACCGACCTTTACATACGAGTCCCATATACGAAAGACCAAACATCACCGCCAAAAACACCAACAAATAACAACAACAACCGTTTTTGTAAAATGCACTTATAACATGAAGCAATAAGAACGTGGCATTTTCCCAGTGAAGGTCTGACAAATATCAAAGTTAAAATCAATTTGATTAAATCAAACGTATTATGTATTTAAAAAAAAAAGATATATATAAGTTGAATTATGTAACATTACATTCACAGAAAATAGAAATCATCAATAAACACTGAAGAAAAGAAAAATTAAATAATAATTAGAATGAAAATCTACTTTATGGCTAATTTGTAATTTATTAAAATAAAATGCCTGCTGCAGACTAGCCACAAATATAAACTATTGATATGTCCAGCAAAAGTCTGCCATGTGTTAGGGTCGCCATTAGCAACCGTTGTCGTTAAAGTAAGATAAAATATGAATCCATACGTCAACTGGCAAGCCCTCACCCAATATTTGAAACTGTCAAGATAATCTGTCTGCAAGAGGGGATAAATAAAAAGAGAAAACACACATATATTTAATTTGTTTACTTTGAATAATATAAGTATTGGCGGCCCGATATACTTTTACCAAAAATCTAAATTTAGCCATGACGGAAATAGCAAGTTATACTGGTATAAAAAAGAGACCGGTTATACGGCCGGTTGTAGCAACTACTCCGAAGATCAAGATACATTAATCTTGATCTAAGGAGACACGAACGAACGAACTGGTATAAACACAAAACACAAAATGTTAAGTTAAATATTCGAATTAGTAGTTTGATAGTACCAGCAACAAATCTTGAGAAGACTTCAGTCCGCCCTCGTACTATTAGTCAGGTACCAGCTTGTAAAACGATATGCCAAAACTATCAATGTATCAAGCGATTCATTCAATGAACAACCTATTCAATTTGTTCCCCCGTCTAATTTTCTCCATCAGAACTTTAAAATATTGATATTTCATGCTTGTAATATTTTATTCTATTTTATTTTTGGCACATTTTGTCTATAAATCTTATACTAATTTTGTAACTCCTTCATTTCCTTCATGAAATTAACATTATCTACCCTAATCTATTTTGCTTTTTAGCATGATTCAACATAATAACTATAATACTTAAACTGCTAAGAATTTATCATAAATGTTCCAAATATACGTTTATGGAAAAGGAAAATCAAAAGTTTGTTAATAATGTTTTGTTATGACCAATAAATTGAATAAAATCACTTTATCATAGAAAAAAAATAAAGTACTGTTTTGCTTTGACTGTAAACAATGCTTGTAACCATGAATGGAAATGGTAATTGGAGAACTCGTTCCTACCTGCATTTATACTTCTTTAATTCTACTATAATGTTTTTTTTTATTTAGGCAATAGTCGAATACTATTTAGTATCCATGAAAGTTTACGGAGTATAATGAATTACATAATATCTTGATGTAGAGTACATTTACGTAATCTTTAACTCATAACGACATGTACAGTTTTATTGATATTCTTATTTGTTGTTGTTGTTGTTTAGTTTTAAGGGCGTGTGTCATTCAATTGTGAATATTACGCCGAATTCAATTTTTTTTATAATTTAAATGGAAACAACCATAAAAGGAGGGGGGAAAAAAAAATCGACGCTGTTCAATTTTTCGCATTTTGCGGAGATTCCAGATTATCATTATCATCGCAGTATTCTTGTATCAAGTAAAGGTTATGAGAAAATATGAGAAAACTGAAAAACATATATGCACCACGGACCAACAACAGACCGGACCTAGGATCATGTTGCCCCCCCCCCCCCTTCCCCCTCCCCCTTCCCCCGCCCCTGTTTGGAGTCGCTTTGCCGGTGTGACTGGGGTTTAATTCATAGCTATATTATTTTGATGTGTCATATTAGTTGACAAAATCCTAAATTGTTATTATCATAGTTTCAACATGATTATGAAGGGTGCGAAACAAGACAATGTAATAAAATCATGTACATAATATTTTATTGCAGGGTATAATTGCACAATCTTTGACTTATATTTATTACTGTGTATAACATGATGTTTCATATTTTGGCAATAATCAAAGAACCGTTTTATTAATATGATTATATTAGTATAAAAAAGGGTCATGGAACAAGACAAAATTAAAGAACATCATTTATTGGTATGCATTCAAATAAATACATAATCTTGACTACAGCTATAATGAACCAACGTGTATATTTATTAATTAGATATGTCTCATATTGTCACAGTTACCAACCTTTGATAGTTATTGATACAGCCTTATTTGAATTTGACTTTGAATGTGAATTCATGGTTACAATTATGTGTTATTGAGGGTATACCATCAAAATTCAAAACGGAAAACATCCGGGATGTTTATGAGTATAGATCATGCCTAAAAGGAGAAATTTGAAGAAAGAAAAACAAAATTGTATCAATAAAGGTAAACGGATGATAATTATATTCATGGATATGCAAAATAGGCATCTGTTTCAATGAGTATGATTTTTATAGTTTAGCTGAATTGGGAACTTAAAACTAATAATTATTATCATTATAATGATATTATATACTAGCTACTACTACTGCTACTACTACAACAACTACTACTACTACTACTTTTATCATTACCATGACTACTACCTTCTTCTACTTCTGAAGAATGACGTGTAAACTGTTAATAATCCTGACAAAAGCGCTGGACAGGGGGTTAATAAAATTCCCCCCTTATATAAATATTCCTGTTTTTGATGAAAGTCTAAAGCAAAGAGTGTATCATCTAATTTCAAGTAGCAGTTTCTTTTCACCTTGCTAATATGGTATATTCTTATCTAGTAGGTATAAAATACTTGATCAAGCTGAGAATCTGCTGAGAAGATTCAGATCTAGCCTTTACTAGAAGCATCTTTCTGTTCTCCTTGATACACCTGTAAAGAGAACACAATAGGTCTGCGCACCCGTACCCATGGACGTATCGCGCGATAGTACTGTGCAACCAAATTCGTGCGACCGATATTATCCGTGCACGAAAATTTTAAACAGCGAAAAGCTGGCGACAGGTGAAAAGCTCCTCAGCAGTGCATGGAGATGTCCGATTTATGTCACAACGTTTGAGTGACATTGTTGGAAGATTTCCATCTTGTATTGGAGACTTATTCACGTGTTAAACCGGCTAGTGTTCGACATGGACTAACATTGTGGATAATTGTTTTGGAAGAGGGAAGAAAGACATTTTTGGTGTATTTACGTGGGCTGTCAGCATCTTCGGTCAGCTGTTTTGGGGAAACCGCACATGTAAACGTACAGCGCACACGACGTGAGAAGCTCGGATCTCCGAGCGTTTTCCAACGCCAAAATTGATGTTAATTCCTTCAGAATCTGGAAATACGTCTAAGTCCGTCCAAAATGTATAGGCCATCTAGTTTTGACGACCAGTCAGATGGATTTTATGACCAGCAGGTGCCCTTTCTAGATTCCCAGGTATGTACAATTTTCATTTTTCGACACCATTCCCATTTCGCGATCGCGTTTATGGCATTGAAATAAGGGTTTCGTAGGCAGCCATATTGCACTCTGGCTTCCTAGTGTACAAACTTTATGAATGACCTAATTTGCATACCGGATACATTCGTTTCCGATTTGGGACGGGACGGGTCGGGTCCCTCTGCCAAATGATAATGCATGTGTATGATGATAGTTTGATGTTTGTTACAGATGAATATACATTCCTTTTCCCTTTTGATTCTCTCTTTTTCTCAGACTGTTCCTGATGTTGATGAAGTCCCTGATTGTGAAACATGCCCAGAAGGTGCATCATGTGGAAAATCAAAGGGAGATTTGGATCAGGATTCAAAAGGTATTCCAAATGTAACCTAGCAACAATATGTCCAAGGAGGGGGGTGGGGGGAGGGGGGGGGGGGGGTTACAATAGAAGAAAAAACGGAATTCGATTAAAATTACATTTATATTAATAAGATTGTTTATTATTCATACTTAATTAATTCATGATTTATTTGACACTGGGTACAAAAAGGGAAGTAAAGTATAACTATTTACTAAGTATTTATAGCAATAGCAACCTAGTAAATTGTATATTATACCCCTCTTCTTTGATTATCATTGTGACAACAACAACAACAACATACATCTTAGTGAATACATTTACATGTATGAAATGAATATTTTATTTTTGAAGGAGGATTTATTCGATCATAAAGTGACATCAGAAAGTTACCCAGTATAAAAAGATTCAGTTTTCTTCACTTTTGAAGATGTACATGAAATTAATATGTTCCTGTTGCCTTTATTGGAGTTTTATAATTGTTGAAGATATTCCATTACTCTCTTTTTTTGTAATGGGTTTTATCCTGTATACATGTCGGATATTCAACCTACAATTTTTTAAATTAGAAATGATATTAAAAAAAAATTCAAAATATCAACCTAAAATTGTATCTACCGCTCTTAATTAGCCACAAGATGTGTGATGTATTGATGGTTGTGACTCGTAACATACATGTAGCACACGTGTGAAGAGGCGAACAGCAGGATTGACATGTCATCAATAGTGTTTGGAGATTTTTTTCTCTTTTGTTGGTCTACTATACTTGTGTTCTTTTCGTGTATCTTTTGTGTAAAAACAGTAGCATAGATCTATACAAGGGGCAACAAGGGGGTTGAGTAGGAAGCCAGCAGCTCAGCACTTGTCACCCCAATGGCCCAATCGAGTGACACCCCCCCCCCCCCCAATTCTACAGAATAAGAAGGGTTTGGGACTTTGAACGGTGTACAAGACTTAAAATGTTCCACATAATTAATGTATGTACATGTGGTCTTGAAGAATTATGCACGTCATTACATCATGATGCTCAAGTGTGTTTTGGGGCAATAACTGTAGGCCCTTCTTCAATCCCAGGATATTCTTTGTATATTCTCTCCTTGTGACATTGTATGTTGAGAAGTGAATATGCATTGTATGTACAATACCACAATGCAGACCTTTATTTGTATTCATTTGTTGTTGCCAGGAGGAAATATATTTCTAAAGGAGTGTTTCTATAGAAACATTGTACCAATGACATAAATACAATGTAGATGTCACAACACTAGTATGCTGAAACCAATTTGTATTTGTGCACTTTATAATTACTACCAAGCAAATCAGACAATAATTCTCAATTCTAAGAATCTGGTGGTTCGCTGATTTGCCAAGTTTTGTGCATTCATAACCCATTCAGACTGGAGGAAATTTGTAGGAACTTTTTTATTAAGAAACGTTGAAGGATTATTGTATTGTGAAAGGGCCGTACAGAGTACAGACTACAGTACAGACAAGAAAAAAATATTGTAAATAAACGTCATATTAGGTCAGTTTACATGACAAGTGACCAATCACCACTGCACGTTCACAATAACTTACCCAGTTATACAATTTTTGTACGGCACGATGTTTAGACTAAAACAGGACTGCGATTCTTTATCATGTTTCATTAGAAACTATGCTCAAACAGGCGTTTTGCCATACAACGTATCTGTACATGACATTCATGCTGCAAAAAAGACGATTTCTTATCGTTTAGCTATGTTGTATAACATATCTAGCTGAACGCAGGGTTAATCTTCTTGACTGGGCTTGCATGTAGCGATACAAATATACATGTACATATGTAAATCATGACTCATTCATTACCATGCCAAGGATGCAAGTGCCTTGCAAATGCCAGCCAATTTGTATTTTGTCATAATTTTTGAATTATGGCTTTGGTGGTTTTTGCATGAACAGTGAGCTCTGGCAATTGTAGCCTAGGTCTTAACAAAAACAAAAAAGAGAATGATGATTTATGTTGGTATTTTCTTGAACTTTTGCTTTTGTGAATGTCCTGCTGTTTTATCATTGTTAGATGTAGGCCTAATTCATTTTGTTAAAAGGTATTCCTGATAATTTCATTGTTCATTGTTTTAGATTTGTCAATTTTGAATGGGTTTGGCAAAAATAATGCTAGTCATATTCAGAAGGCAGGAAAGTAATTAGCATCCATGAATCCTTAACCCAATCAACGATTAATTCATATTTATCCACCCATCACTATTTATTCACCAATTACTATTTATTCAAGGCTGTTTTTGTCTAGAAATTACTTAAAGTACACCAAAACTTCTCAAATGTACATGTAGCCAGGGAGGTGAGAGTTTACACAAGAGAGTGTTACACACTGTTTATATGTATTTTACTGCCAACACATAAATGCATTGATATGGTCAAAGTTTCCTTTACATTTCCAAGCTCAGAACTAATCAACAACCAAGATTCAGTTAAAAACAGACATCTGCTAGGGTCATCTTGACATTGTCAACATTCCGATCCATCATTTCATCATAACACGAACACATCAACGCACAGATTGACAGTACATGTTTGCCCGTATTGGACACCACGAAACTGCACCTGTGTTGTACATTGAGTGTCCATGGTGAAAGAAATCAACTGGACAATCAATAGGTTATGTATTCCAGGTTGCGTTTTGAATTATTGGGGTCAACACAATATCGCTAGGAGTATTCAAAATTTGTATGGAATTTTCAGGCTCCGTGAATTACATGGCGGAAATTGAATTTTGATGCTATGAACTTATGAAGATTTTATAGAACTGCTTAAATTGAATATCAATCCTTATAACGATTAGAGTGAGACTATGTTTAATGTTTTAAATGCCTGTTGACGTTAACTAAAACTTATTATGAATGGTGAAAAGTAAAGCAAAATAAACAAACAAAAATAGAAAAGAAGAACAGGAATGGAGAGCATAGTAGCTCTGGTAAGCATTTTAAAATATGAAAAGAAAAGCTGAAGCTCCTAGTAATAATAGAAGGAACATAGATGCATGTAGTATACATGTACATCAATGATCAATCACTTTGAGAAAATTTAATATTATTTGCTATGGAAAATCAGAAAAGGAACAAAAAAGTATTTTTCACATAGCCCTTTTATTATTAATTTAGGGCATGTTCTGTACATGTATTCCTCCATCACAATCATATGCAAGTATATTTAATATTATCATCTGAATAACACATCAGAATATACTTCCATTGATAGTGAAATGAAATTACGCTTTGGCATACAGTGGTTGGTATTTTCTTTGAATTATTGATGTAGTTGAATCTTGTAGAAATGCAGGGTTTGTTATTTTAAACCCCACTGCAAGGCAGAGCAAAGTAAAGATGTGCATAATAAACCCATATATATTATTAAATGTAAATGCAAATTTACAATGTTCAATTACATATTTAATTTCCAAACTTATTTGCTGTGCGGATTGTCACTACTTCTATTCTATAATTTGAAAGCATAATCCATTAATTTTTGCAACTTAATAGTGCAATAACAATGAGTCATAATTGTCATATGTACGGGAGGTCAAACAACTGCCTACATGTACGTTCTTCAGCACAATGCCAGGCATGGTATCTATTGTTTACTTAATTGATTAATATCTGTTACGTCAAACAGCAGATTATTGCACAATTGTCAAATTCCATTGTTAGGTCATTACGGTTTCACAGCTTTCACTACTTGACCTTTTGCGTGTTATGCAAATTTTTTCCCCAGGAAATGTAATGTTATAAAAATGTTGGGAAAGAAAAACAGCCTTTTTTCTAGTATTCCTGAAGCAAAAAAGGGTACATACATGTAGATACATGAAGACATCTACATGTACATGTATGTGTTTGGATTATCCCTTTTAGAAAAAGACATTGTTACATGACCAGATCAACAATGAAATCTGAATTTAAACTAAAAATGTAACCCTTACATGCTATTTTATGCCTTGTAATTTGTTAGTACTGCCATGCAGTACATGTACAATTGTGCATATATATACACTTGTAGTGCTTACATGCCATGGAGAGATTGTTTACATTTGATATATTGGTAGTCTGATTGGTAATTAAAGGGCAGAATGATTAATTACAGTTACAGGTACATCAAGTACCCTTTAAGAGCTTTGCACAGTGCTACTACATGGATGGATGATGATTTGTTATCGCAGACATTGTATACATGTAGGTCAAAATGTCCAGAAGTGAAGCAGAAATTATCGTCCAATGCACTCGGACAGCGACGTAATCAATGCGCCACAGAGTATCATTATTAGATAAACTCCATTTTGGGGTAAATGAGTTTTGAACACTACACATGGGAGGCATAATTTAATTGAGACGGCAAACACACTGGTACTGGAGGGTTTGTGTAGTGCACAAGTTGTATCACATTGTGACAAGATGTATGGTGCTGACTGTGTATGCGTCAAATTAATTGCAGTGAGTTGGACCCTGTGTAGCGTTTTGCATGGGAGAGGAATTTAATACGCCATAGACCCTTGAGCAAGACATGCACATATACAATAGACTGCAAGCCCCCATATATTTGTTTGTTGTTTGTTGTAAACTTGTAATTGTTGTAAACTCTGTTTACATGTACATATTGGCCTACATGTTCTATTATCTACATTATGTAGATGATATAAATAAAAATACAAATACAAATAAGCCAATAAGCGATGTACAAGATTTCAAACTTTTAGGCCTTTGTTCTACAGTTCTACTCAAATTTAAACTTGAACCTCGGTTTAAGCTTTTGCCTTACAAGTAAGTAGGGTTTAAAGGCAAATCCAACCCAAATAGCCAACTACTCTAAACAAAAGCACACAAATCAGAGAAGCAAACTGATGAAAGTTTCAATTAAATCTGACTAAATATAAGAAAGTTATGAATTTTTGAAAGTTATAATCACTATACATGTGTGCATGGGCACTTTAAATTGGCTGAAGCGGTAATGTCAATGTGATGTACTACATCACACTGAGTGTCTTTCCAATCTGTTCCAACGTATAAAATGACTAAACCCCTTTTAGGGATGTTATACAGTACCTGAGAGAAGAAATACTTTTCAAGTAAAAATGACTACCGGTATTGGTTTGCATTCTATCACTTGAATGTTTGAAGTGCTAGCACCCAAGCAACGATTGGTATTTATGATTCATATATTTGCTTTATGTTTTTACTGGGATAATGTATAGAAATTGATGTACCAGCTTTTTGTATCATTTTCATAATTTTGCAATAACAGGATATGTGAGCAAGGATAAAACAAACCAGATATGAGGGTATCTTTTACTGTCTCAACTCACTCTCAACTCTCAAACCACAAAAAATATTGTTAAAGGTAATCATGAGACAGAAAGTAAGATTTCACAGTTGAAAAAAAAGTAACACTAATTTCACTAAATGTTCATAGTTAGAACTAATAGATATTTGCCAAACAATTTTGGTTGGTAGCAAATTCATAATTCATGTACAGGCTAAGTAAACCCATTTTCTGCTGGAACCATGTGGCTCCTGTATCATGACTCTATAGATCCTATGGAAATGAGAAAATTCAGTAATTATGGAAATCAAGCAAATAGTCTAGTAAAATAGTCTGAGTTTGACCTTGTCTGTAATGAACAGTTTTGAATATACTGGTATACATGTGTGAATGTGGGTTGCGTACTTGCGGTTATTATTGAAAAATTGATTTCGAGCATATATTTTGGTTTAAAAAATGTAACATTTGACTAGTTGAAAAAGCCCATCGACTGCATCGTACGCGAGCAAGAGTTATTTCAGCCATAAATTAGGAAAAGCAATTCAATTACCAGAAATGAATCTTTGGATTTTTTGTAATAATTGTCAGTTTTATAATGAAATATTCATTTTTATGCAGTGTACATGTAGAATAAGGTAGATTTAGTGTCACTTTGTGGACTGGTCTGTTGTCTAAAATAAAGCCATTGTAGTATGTAAAATTGTAAAGTAACAAATCTTGTTAAAGTTTTAAAAAAAGAAGCAACACAGCTACGTTGTATGAACACTAATAAATGTGATGGTCATTCTATAACGAATGCACATTAACATTTTGGAAAGAAATCAAAGTTTTGGACGATGCTTGCTTTGGACACTATTTCGACATTCATACACTGTAGGACATAAGATATTCAAGCGTTGTCTGTCCTCATTTTAATTTGCATTTTTATAGACACTGCATGTGTACACTGTTTCCCTGAATTATTCCATGCCATCATTGGTGGCCTCATCTCTTTGAAAGTCACAGAAAAAAGAAAACTATGACCAGTTATACTTTATGTGGCTAGCCTTCTATAAGGGACATTTGTACACTGCTAGCCGGCCTACCCTGAATTATTGCATGTTGTTGTTGACGGGGCCCCTTCTTTATATTACCCACATACTGGACATGAACATGACAAGTGCAATATGCAGATGGACAGTCTCGTTGAAAGCCCCCTAGGGGTATTGGATTCTATTACACTGACGGAGTCCACAATATCGTGCTCAAAATTATGTTCTCCATTTTCTAATATGTAGGTCTTGTAGGATGACGATCATACATATACATACATGTACATGTACTTGCATATTAGAAAATAAGTATGTACATACGTGTATGTTTAATAGTTGTCCAACAAAACCTACTTGTACAAATGTACAGTATGTACTGTACGTATACCAGGATGGGGTACCTTTTAAATTTGGTTTTCTAATTAAAAATTTACAAATATATTTAGTTACAACAAAGTCAAAGTGGTTTTCTGACATTTTCTTGAGTGTTTATTTTGTCTAACTCTAACATGCAGGGTTAGGTAGGGTTGCAGTAAAGTTTTAGGTTTAGGGTTACATGTGCAAATGTATGTACATGTATGTAACATTAGGGAAATTGGCAGTAGAGTATGGGACCATGTGTTGTACACAATACGTAATACAGATATATCCACGATCAAGATATGTAGGTAATTGTAAATTTAGCCTTATATGTACATGTATATACCATGTAGCTTTTATGTGGCTATATTATACATTGAATTGTGGGGAATAAACCTGTAAAAAGGCTGCCGTTTTGAAAAGAAAATGAAGATCATGGTACAAGATACTGTTCCCATGTCTTTGAAGAAGAAATTTTAAATGGACGACACTATTGTATGGCCAATCATAGGGGTAGAGATGCTCTCTTTGATAAAAGCAAAACATGATACATATACCCAAGGATTGAACAGTATTAACAAAAGCTTCTTGTGTAAGCAAGTGTTTGTGGAGTTTATGCTCTGGAAAGACGGTACGTAAAGCACTAAAAGGGAAGATTTGCTGTTTGTCTTTATCTGCCATTTTTATTCCCCACAAAGAAAGTCAATCGTGAACGAACTCATTCTGATAGGCTTCAGATAACAAACAATGTGTCTTCGTCTTTCATTTTCAGTCTCAAAATAACAAGATTGATTTGAGAGATTTGGTGATAGTTTTTATCAAGAATAATTTTCTTTGGGCTTTTACAAAGTGTTGGAAACCACAGAATACTGCTGTAAATATACTCTACACTGTATAAGTGCCAAGGGGCAAGGCAGTTCTTCTACATTATAAAATGGTATCATGTAAAATATCATTTATTAAGTGTAGTATCTGTGTCTGTAGAAGAACAATATGAGCATGTTGTGCACATGCGTGTGTAAGGAAACTTTCTAGGAACCAAATAATAGGCCCTACTTATTGATTGATTTTGTACATCTTTAAAAATCTTTTTCTTCGAGTGCGATACGTTTACATGTAGGCATATCCACTACAAATCAATACAAGTAGAAGCAGACATGTAAAATTGGCAATAACATTGTACAGTATACTACATGTATACACCCCTATATATGTATTCACGCTGTGTTGTAAATTTTTCTGCTAATAAATCTTTTCTTGGTTATATAGACAACATTTCTTATGAGTTAAGATTTATGGTTGACGTGGCTGTGCCACTGCCACTATGTGTTAAAAAGAGGAATAAAATGATGCATCTTAGCTCTGCGTAGAGCACTAGAGCTCAAACATTTCTATGAATTCTATGACTTTACATATCTTACATGTAGATACATCCTGAATGTTCATGTACCGTGTAACTGTATTTCAAAAGAATTAACTTTTTTAAAATTATTTCGATTACTTTTTCCATGCAGAATTATTCCATGATCTGGATCAATTACAGGAAGAATGGTTAGCTGATGGTAAGTTCTTTTCAATGAAATCTTTCATGATGTTATCATTCTATATGTTTGTGTATTATTTTGTACAATGTCAAATATTTATTGACTTGTTCTTCTTCTCCCAGATGAGAAAAAGTATCCTGTAGACCTTTTGTAAATTTTGTGAATCTTTCTTCATATTCTAGAAATTACACATGTACCGTACCGTAGTCACTTTTTTCCAATTTAAACATAGTCCCCAATATTATGAAATGATATCATGTACATGGATACTTGCTAGTATCTTAACCTCCTATAGATATTTCTTAATCAATGAATCTTGTCAAAAATACAAAACTAAAAAACTTGAAACCAAAAACTTTCCTGTACATGAAATGTTCGTGAATTTCCTGATTGGTTAAGATGAGCAAAACACTCAAATCACAACTGAATTGCAAAAGCTTAAAAGTAATACAAAGTTTTGGGAGATTTTGAAAATTGGGTGGATAGTGATTCTTTACAATTTTGATATATTTGGATGCCCCTGTGGATGTATTATAAGCACTAGAAAATTTAGCCCCTAAAACACTTCTGCTTTTGAGCAAAATTGAATATAAAAATTTACCGGTGCTCCCGGTAAATTTTGATAAATTTCAAATAGCACCTACAGCCGTACAATTGTAGCTGCGACCATGAAAATCTCAGTCTTTGTACTGGAGATATATAATTTCCAAACGGAAATAGCTCATCGGTCGATTGTAGTATCGAAGCATTGTTTTATAGCTTACTTAATATCATGACCTTGGGAGGGAGCTATACAACATAAAGAGTTTATTATTCACAATTTCATAACTTTAGACTCGATTTCAACCGCAGCAACAATCTCTGAATATTGTAGGATCGCATATGCTTCCAATATGTTCATTTCAACGAAATTCATGACCCCATACCAACACTTTGTATTACCTTTAACAAAAAGATTACAATTCATGAAAGTTTTTAAATGGTTTTACACTACATGTATGTAAAACACAATGTAGACCTGTAATTGTGTATCCTTTAATTAAACAGCACAAGATTGCAGACCCATCTTTTACAGCTATTCATTCATCTCTAATGGGATATGAGAGGAGGGTGGGGTATGTCATTGAAGTGGGAGGTAGAAAAATATAGAGGCACCAGTCGAAAAGAATAAGACATCCAGAAATAATTATGAATATAATAGAAAAGGAGAGACAGAGACAGGGGAGAGAGAGAATCGAGATCCAGTAACTCTTTTCAGTTCTGATTCAATGGAGCGAGCTCTATGACAGCATCCCCTATTTTCATATCCAAAGAAAAACTTGTTTACCCCAAACTCACTGGAGCTGCTTTGCATATGAATGGCAGGAGGAAGTTTCAGCTTAGGGACGGTCTCAACAATGCAAGGCTAGACTGTTTATTGCACACATGTGTGCAAAGTTTCGCAATGGCTTCATGGGAATCTCATTCTCTGGTTCCCTCCATTTTTTAGAGACTGTTAGTGTTACTGATTTGTAAGAAAGGTGCTTTTCATCTATGATACCAAATAATTGAGAACTATTTGGACTAAAGTAAGAATAGTTTACAGTATTATGAAGGTGTACTTTGATATTTTTGAGTTTTTATTTTGAACTTCACAGTAAAACATTCTTCAACAAAATGTAAGCAATGATGTACTCATCAATATAGTGGGAGAGCGAAAGAATTTATATCTGTATTAAAAAAGGAGTAAATATTACCCTTCTTCAATATCATGTGTTGTAATCAATACATAATGATCAATCTAAAGAGTTTTCAATCATCAAAAACTTCATTATTTTCTCCATAAGGCAATAGTATAATAAGGCTTTCTTGTTTATCGCATCTGACTTTTGCATCTTAACCATTTTTTTCTTCAAAAAGCAAGTGAAATACTGCCCAATTGGAAAAACTTGTGGTGTATAGTCACATATCCAGCATTTCCTTTTTCAACCTAATTTTATTGTAAAGGTGTGGCTAGCTTTGCACTCAGCAGGTGATTATTGAACTAGAAATCAACCGATCAAGCAGCAGGCAGAGAAAGAAAAAGGAAAGAATAAATAAATGTACAAAGAGTCAAAGATGCATCCTAGCCGACATTTATTGAAAGCTGAGGCAATCATGCTGTGGCCATACTCTTCTATTATGATATTCCATTGCTAGGTTTTTTTTTATTTTTTATTATTCTTTTGGGTATATTGATTTGATTGTCTTGCTTATTGGATAAAAGCTGGAAACTTCTGAGATAAAAAGGAAGTAATAAACAGTTACTGTACTCATATAACCCTCACTGTGGGGAATATTTTCCCCCGTTATTGAATCCTGGATAAAAGGAAATTTTTGTGATGCTACATGTACCGGTATAAAAGATTATTAAATAGATGATAACTCCATGTAAGTTTGGAAAATATTTTTCTGTTGATTGAGATTTTGCTTTTGACAAGTAAGTGATGAATTAGGAGTAAAAGAAACTGTTTGTACAATGAGGCCCAGGAATAAGATTAATATCAATGGCGACATTTGTCAAATCAAATCATCCATTTGCTACCATCTACACGTATGGAACAAAATAGAACCCAATCCTCACATTACTGTTCTGAAGTAGCATCCAATTTTACAAAATGTTCTGAAAAACCAGTAAATTCAGACTAGTGTTTTAGAGGACCAACCAACCAAGTACAAAGTACTTTATCTCACGAAAGTACAGAAGTCAAGAAAATGTCCTGAATACTGAAATACATGTACACGTAGGCCTACTGGTACATGTAGCTTATAGTTGAAGGACTAATGATGTGGTTAGGTGAGACTGTAAGTTACTGTGGTCAATTTGGTTGTTGTGGTTTACCTGATTTTAAATGGTTTATAGATGCATGGACTTTCGTCATATCCAAGTTGAAATAGAGGCCTATTCATATGTATTTTATACTGCGTAGTGTAGACTTAGATGAAATATCATTGTGGATCAATTTGAATTATGAAACTGTCAACTCCCCCCCCCCCCCCCCCCCTTTTCCCCTTTATTTCACTGGACCTGCTTGCAAATGATGTGTGACTGTATTCTGTCTTGGTTATCCTATCGCCTAGTTCTTTAATTCCTGCTGTGTATTTTCTCTCTCTCGCTCTTCTTCATATCCATCTTTGCCTCTTCTTGTTTAATATGCATGTGTCTCTGTCCCTCTCCCTCTCTCTTGTGATCTTTCTTTCACTCCCTCTTTCTATCCCTCTTTTTATCTCTCCCCTCCCTGCCCCCATTCTCTCACCATCTTTTTCTTTTATTTGTCCCTGATTGAGACCTCCACGTACCCCACAAACACAGCTGCTTCTCAGTATTTCTCTTTTCTCCCCCTCTCTTTTAATATTTTGTTCAACTTTCAATGCCTCTTTCATACAATTCCTTTTTTCTTTGCTCTCTTTTGTTTCTTTCAAAAAAAGAAAAAAAGGGGCATCTCTGTGGTTCTGAACAGATAATCACCTCACTGATGAATTGATCGCTGTCACAAGGCAGGATTTATGGCAGATTTTTGCACATTTTATTTGCCAGTGCCTGTCAGAGGAGTCATTGCCTATCAGTGCATATCAAGAATATTTGACAAACAACCCCATAAATAATCATCGCTCATGATTTGTATGAGAACGTTTGTTGTTAGGCCAACTATCAAAGTGGGGTAGTAACTTCAATTTTTCAAATTTTGACATCGTCTCTCATTCAGACTACCAAGATTACCGTAATGTTAGTACTTTTTTTATTGTCTGAAAGCTGCTAAGCAAAACAAAACATTCTCTGACAAAACACTGTATAACAAAACATTGTGTTGCGAAACTGATGTTTGAGTATCGTTTTGAATGAAAATGTGTTCAAGAATCAGGATTCAAGCACTCTAAAAAAATCTGAATGAATTGAGAAGAACGCCTGGTCCCCCTTTCTGTATACAAATTTCAAATTTCAAATTTCAAATTTCATATAACTTTTGTGAAGTCTGAACCTGCTCTTAAGCCAACCACTGAAGGGGGTACATGTAGGTCCATGGAAGTACATCCATGACTTTAATGTCTTGGTCTATAAACCTCTATGAATTTTATGTTAACATAAAATGTTAAGCGGAGACAGGTGAAGGTCAGAAAAATATGGTTTAAGTTTTAGAGGGACATTATGATAGGAATTCAGCATTTATGATGGCAGTGTGTATCAGTTTATTTATTTATATTGAAAAAATTGTAGACCTAAAGTACTTTCATTTGTGGAACATGTGTGACTTTGATAATATTCAAAATTCTATAATCTATATATTCGATTTGGTTACCATTCATCACAATTGTCTATTTATCATCTATCTCTGTTTCTCAACGCAAGGAAAGTAGGCCTATATGGAATTTTCCTAACAATCATAATAGCATTACAAGATACTTGGTGTTCATTTTGTTTTAATTTCATGCAGGGCATTATGAATATTAATTGTTTTAATGAATGTTTTCTTTTTAATTCTCTTTGATGTAGATTTCGGCTATGGTCCAGAGTCCGAACCAGAACAGTATGTGCCTGATTTCCAGTCCGAGAATCGTAAGTCTTTCTAATATTGCTTTGTTTTTGAAGACCAATTCCTGATAAATTTGTGGGGGAATGTGTATTTTACTTCATGTAACTTGATATAAATGTATACAGTTCTGTATATATATTATAAGACTGTCATTTTCAAGTTATGGACATAGCTAAAATACATCTTGACCCTTTTATTAACGGTTCACCTTGTACATGTTTTTTCAAAGATGTTATTTATAACTTACCTATTTGTTTGAAAAGATACTTTTCCATTAGGCTAAACAAGCTGAGTTGAGATTTAGATAGATCAGATCTTCTGAGAAAACAATTGCTAGAGTTGAGCAAAGCCTGCTTGCTTGAGGAATTTGCTGGAAGTTCAGAGCATATGATATAATCTGAAAGGGATTTCACACTTGCAAATTTGCCTGCTAACCACTTATTAGCTGCATCATGGGCTACTAAATGTATTTCAAGAACAAGCCCTAGTAGAGCTAGCTTGAGATAGCCCAAGCTTTCCCAAATGAATGTAACCCGAATGTCACAATTTCCCAGGTCCATAAATAAAGAAATCACACTTGAGGTTACGTTTTAACAAAATAACCTGGCAATGCCTTTATTAGCTCGTTGTCAATAACAACTGCAAATCAAGTAAACATTGAAATAAACAAAACTTCCACATCTTACATCTATAACATTATAAGGTATTATAACTTATAACTAGAACAGCTGTTATCTAAATATTTAAGTGACCAAATTATTAAATGTTCATAAGCTCGCTCGCGATACGCGGTCGATCAATATCCGGCGTCTCTGTGTCGTCGAAGAGGACGTCGCAGCACGCAGAAAACAAGAACAGGTCGAACGATAGCTTGAAGCTCGATGAGATTCATCAATTAAAAGACCCTAGTAAAAGAGCATAATAAACAGAACTCTTCTAATAAAACATTCCTTAAGAGAGGGAAAGATAAATATATATATATATATATATATATATAACAAGCTCGTCCCTCAATAGATTAAATTTAGAAAAGAATGACAGTTTGCCTCTTGATTTATCTAATTAACTTTGGAAGAATCAATGCGATTCTGTCAACTTAATTTACTCAGTTATACTTATAACTTAGTTTAATTCATGATTAACATGATACAATCCTTTTCAAAATAGTACTTATACCACGTTAGTAAATATAAATAAAATATGTATACATCACAATAATTGCATGCAATGAAGATAGCATAATGCACCAACTGTTCAGTAGAGTTTTCATTCATATCATTATGAGCTATAATGAATGCGATAGGGATGCCACAGATAGATAGCTCGATCTATCTGATTGACCTGACCATATCGCTTGATTTAGAATTTGCCAAAATAACATTTGACTTTTACAATTAATGGAAAAGTCCAGCAAATGAATATGCATAATAATGCTCCACGCTGCGCATAACCATAATGAACAGCAAATACACATTACCAGTAAATCAGTAGATAAGGTTAGTAAATCTTATCTACAACCAAGTATCTCAAACCACCAAATTTAGTGAGAGTTCAATGACCTCTAGCACGAGTTGCCATTACCCTAAATAAAAGCCAATTATCTTTCAGCATGGGCTATTTTAGGGCTTGCATGCTATGCAGTATAATAACTGCAAAATAATCTCCCATAATAATCTTTTCTTCTCATTTAACTGAATTGTTTGATCAGCAGAAAGAATCAATCTTGTATAACACACATCTGAATTAAAAAGGTTATATAATGTATGCTACAGTCTCAAACTACACTCAGAGTCATACAAGCAAAATATAGATATCATCATGATATACACACTTCATACAACAGAGTAATGAAAACATACATAGCAAAATATAGTGTTCTTACCTAGTAAAAGAGCCAACACTTGCTTGCAATATAAAATCAGGAACTGGGATGATAACCATGCAACTCAAAAAGGTTGAAGTTGGATGAAATGCCCAATCAAATATAACACAGGAAACTCTCTCAAAACTTTGAGAAACTTGAAGAAGGTAAAGTTGATATATACGTTTTGTATATATATATATATATTGAAGAAGAAAATCAGGTAGAGGCTACAGATATATTTAGTAGCACATGCTCCAACATGGAGATTGAATATATACAGGGCAGTGTTCGAAGCAATGGCAGCTGGGCAGAGAATGAGCTGGAAACTTAAAGTTTCAAAGTTTTATTAAACTGTCCAGACCCACATTACCCTTCCTTCCAACTAGACTTCTTATTGGTTACCTAACATCATGTGATAGGACCAAGCTTGCATCCTTAACTAAAATGACTCATCCTTTGTCTCAAACCCAATACTCCAAGCCAGCTCTCTACAGCATGGTCTTAAAGCTCGTCTTTTCTTAGTACAACCACTTAAAACTATACCTATCCTGAATACAGAGATTAACAGTAGCAACATCCTGAAGGGACACAATCTACCTGCAAACACCACTTAAGTAAAGAGGGTCCTATTAAAGGGAATAGACAAAGGGGAAAGGGCACCGAATTCTGTGGGAGACAATATAATCCCAAACACTGTGTCCAGTGTTATTGATGGTCAAAGCTCTAGCAAATAAGTTATCTACCAGCAAGAGTTCTTAAACTGGGAGAAGAAAATAATCTGGGTGAGAACAAACCTATATTGCACTAAACTGCATAAGGAGCACAAAGCAGAGTTTGTTTCTTAGAAGTATGAGATGAAATGAATGGATACAAAGAGAGAGAGAGAGAGAGAGAGAGACAAGAGAGAGAAAGAGAGAGAGAGAGAGAGAGAGAGATAGGAAAAGAATAAATAACAAAATATGACTTTAGTAACTGCCATTTTTATGGGGGTTACATCCTCCCTCCTCAAACCCTGTTCTCTCTGGGAACATAACTAAAAGGTAAAAGTTAGTCCAATTAAAATCCAAAAATCTTCAGCCTTAACCTAGCAAATAACCCAGAGGAGGTAGCCGATCGTGTCGTAGGATCGCCCAAATCACGATATACCATGCGCTGCGGCGGCTTGGAAGAGCGAGTTGAGCGTCGGATGGATTGCGGCTCAGAATCTGCGTCTGTAGCACTAGGTTCGGTGCCTGGTAAGACACCAGGTACATCGATAGACACAAAGGGATTCTCAAGAGATATATTACCCATTTGCTCGACGGGGTCAGCACCCATCTCTTCGCTATCCATATTCTCCCTCCTCAGAATCTGGTCCCCATAACCTACTTCCTCGGTCCTTTGTTGGGGCTCTATCAGTTCAGGAAATTCATTCAAGGGAAATAATACTTCTTCATCACTTTCTAGGGACATAGGTTCAATCATACTTAGTGCTGGACTGCCATCTCGGATACTTCCTTCATCACTTCCATCTTCCACTATAATTGGGGATGGGATCTCAGGAATGGGCCTTACCCTATCTGGGACAAACTCAGGGGCATCCACACGGAGGCCAGGGGCAGGTAGGGTATTGAGTTGGGACATTGGCATCTCTGGGAAAAGCAGAGCGACACCCTCATCATCCGAGACAGGTTCATCACTTGAGTGACTCGGTTCGGCGGCTAGAACCTGTTTGGATCTAGTCCGATGTGATGGACCTTTACGGACTCTTTCCACATTAGGGGAAACGGTCTCATTAAAATACTCTATTGGCAGGAGGAGATTTCTATGGAGGGTACGTTCTCGACCTTCTCCATTCTCCGGCTTTACCTTATAAACAGGCATGTCTGGGTTGATACGCCGTACAACAATTTGTGGCTCTCGAAACCACTTGTCGGCTAGCTTATGCTTGCCAGTCAGACCGACATTTCTCACAAGCACTCTGTCTCCTGTCTGGAGATCATTTTCTCGCACCTTAGCATCATACCTTCTCTTGTTGGCCTCGGCTGACTTGTCTGACGCCTCAGATGCAAGCTTGTAAGCACGGGTGAGTTGTTCACGAAGTCCCTGGACATACTGAACGTGATCCGTGCCACTATGGTTGTCCGGACTCGTGCCAAAGCGCAAATCAACAGGCAGTCTAGCTTCCCTACCAAACATCAACAGGTATGGGGAAAAACCAGTGCTATCATGCTTTGAGCAATTGTACGCATGCACTAATGCACTTACGTACTTGCTCCAGTTTTGTTTCTTCTCTTCCTCAAGGGTCCCTAGCATACCTAGTAAAGTTCGGTTGAACCTTTCGGGTTGGGGGTCACCTTGAGGATGATATGGGGTGGTCCTTGACTTTTGGACTCCAAGGAGCCTGGTCAGTTCATATATGACTTTGCTCTCAAAGTCTCTGCCCTGATCGGAGTGAAGGCGTTGAGGCAGGCCATAATGTACGAAAAAGTTCTCCCATAAGACCTTAGCCACAGTCTTAGCGGTTTGGTCTTTTGTTGGGAAAGCTTGCGCATAGCGAGTGTAGTGGTCAGTTACCACTAGTATTGACTTTTTGTTAGAGCGGTCTGGCTCTAAGGACAGAAAGTCCATGCAGACCAGCTCCAACGGACTCGTCGTCTTGATACTAACCAGTGGTGCTGATGGGTGCTGATGTGATTTTCTTGCCACGCAACGGGGACAGTGCTTCACCCACTCCGTTATTTCGGCACTCATTTTGGGCCAGTAGAACCTGTCCCTAGCAAAGGCTATCGATCTCTCGATGCCGAGATGACCCACCTCATCATGAATGCCTCTCATAGCTTGCCTCCGGCTACTTGAGGGCAAGACGAGCTGATAATGAGTCTTCCCGAGAGAATCTAAGAAAGACCTATAGAGGATGCCTTGCCTCAGCACGAGCCTATCAAATTCACGGAGCATGAGCTTAGCATCATGATGTACACCATCCAACGAAGAAGGCTTCTTACCTTGCTCCACATGACTCCGGACCAGGTTCACGATTTGGTCTGCTTTTTGTGCCTGAGACCAGTCTACCTTGTTCAGGTCTGAGCCTTTTGCATACAGACTGGGAATGGACTCGGCACTAGCACAAAGGGTCTCTATCATAGGTCCATGCTTATGGGTGACCCGAGGCGTGGTACT